TTTCACAAATACAAACAGTAAAAAAAGCTATTGTTTAACACTATGTTTTGTTTCACTGACCTAGTTTTCAATGATTGGAGCTAAGACTCTAAATATAACAAAAAAACAAAGACTTGGTTATATTTTGGTTATTTCCAAAACAGAAATCAAACTACATCAAATTCAATTACTATTTGAGATAGTAATGTTTATTTAATATTAAAGCATTGAACTTAAATTTTCAGGATAATTCTAAAACATATCTTAGCAAAATATATATTTTAAAACTTTGGACAATTTGCATTAAACAAGACTATCCCATCGCAGGACAGAATGAGAACAGTAAGACACAATATCAAATCAAATTTTTTTCTATTCCAGTTATAGGCTAGGAAATATGAACTTTTTCTTTTCTTTTCTTTTTTGGTATCAGGGATTGAACTCAGGACCTTATGCTTGCTAGGCAGGCAGCAGCACCACTGAGCTAAATCCCTGGTCCTTCTTTTGTAGTTTTTTGAGACAGTCTTGCTATATTCAGGCTAGCCTTGAATTTAGTATGCAGCCTACATCAGCCTCGAACTTACGGTGATCCTCCTGCTTCAACCTCTGGAGTGCTGAGATTACAGGTATGCAACACCATGCCTGGCTAGAAAATACGAAATTTCACTCAACTTTAATGCATAGAACATCGTGGGACAATTCCAGACAAGTATAATATAGGACCCAACTGGGTTGGTGGCACACACCTGTAATTCCTGTTTTTCAGGAAGGTGAAGCAGGAGGATCACAACTTTGAGGCCCTGGATTCAGTCCCAAATGCTACAAAAAAAACCCCCACAGGAGCTGGGCATACTAGTCCATGCCAGTTAATTTGATGGCTGAGGAAGGAAGAGCACAAATTCAAGCCTAGTCTTGGCAATTAGTGAGACTGTGTTTAAAAAAAAAAAAAAAGGCCAGGGACGTAGCTCAGTGTGAAGGCCCTGAGTTTAGTAACCAGTACTGAGAACAAACAAAAGAAAGGTGCATTTAAATACACAATTATCAACATGAACTTTTCCTCGTGTCTGACTTGGCCCAATAGCAGATGAGCTATACAAAAGATGCTCATACACCTACACCAGGAAAATTAATCGTTGTATTAACCTTGTGCACCTTATACAATCCAACTACTACATGCAAAATTCCAGTACTATATGGTATAAACATAGAACAAACTACTCAGTAGATACAGAACATGTTAAGTTCAGTCAAGAAGTGTTTTAGAAGGCCAAAGCTTTAAAGTGGGTTTACGTACAGGAAGGATAACCTACTATTTGATGATACTGGATCAAACTAGACTTTCCCTGATTGGGACAATGAAATGTTCTTACAGTTATAGTATCAGAACAAGACACCACAGTACATTCCAATTTAATTATAAGAAGGCAAGAATGTACAAATTTAGCTGGTGTGGTGGCACACACCTATAATTCAATTACTTGGAAGGCTGAGGCAGAGAATCGCGGCAAGTTCGAGCCCAGCCTGGGATACATAGTTCAAAGATTGCCTGAACTACATACCGGGACCTGACCATTGAAAAAAAAGGAATGTACACGTTTATTTTTTTTTGTGTGTGTGCACATTTATTGAAACAACACATGCTACCAAATTAATACATGGTATTTATATATTGGTTAAAATTAATTTTCATTTTTAAAGGGTAAGAAAATGGAATCAGATATGTATGCAAAAGCGCAAACGAACAACTACAAACATTTTCTCTATGGCTTAAGGAGCCTTTTCAATTCCTTAAATACTATCAAACACACCTGCACTCCACGCAGTTTTTTAATTCCTTATGAAATTAACCCTGCAGCCACCTTACTCTGAAAGTAGTTCACCAAAGAGGCATTGGAGCTCTTCAAGTGAAGATATAAGGATTGTGTCGGGAAGACCTGGGCTAAGAATTCAATTTGGCCAATTGGACGCGTTGGCTGCCAACCGGCCCGAAATGCGACGTCTATGATGGCTTCAAACTCCAAAGTGCCAGCCCCTGGTCGGGATCCCGACGGGCTCAGACCGGAAGACATGTGGTGAAGGGATTCAAGCCTACAACCACCAGATGAACACAAAGGAAACACAGAGGACCTAAGGGACTCGGGGCACGCAGAGAAACGGCTATGGGGCGAGGGCCTCACAAACCACTTACTTTTTCAGCTCGGGAGGGTGAGCCTTACTCATCTTGTCTAATTCGCGGGCTCAGAAATCCTTTGAAAGGGAAACTGCAGTCACAATCACGCTCCCGCGGTAGGCTCGGCGCTTTACGTCTGGCGTCACCATACGTCGCCAGCCAATCGCCGGTCCGTAATTTTTACATTACTCCTCGCGATACTTAGGGGAAGCCAAGCCTTGTGGGTAAGCCGCCAGTTTCCAGTTGCGTCATCAGCAAGTGGCCAGGGATCAGAGGTGGGGCGGCCCACAGTTCTGTTTCCTTTGTGTAAAATTAAGGTGAAGGTCCCGCGTCTAACGTCTGGGCGAAGTCGGCCAGTCCTTTGTCTTTGTGGATCTCGTTATTATTATTATTATTGTTTTGTTTATTTTTAAAAATACAGTATATGCGGAGTGAAAATGAGCTCGGGCGTAGTGGATCCATAATTTTTGGGGCATATATACACCTACAGCATACTGTCAGGTCAAATCTTTTGTAACACCAAAATTAATGGTCTTTCTGCACTAGAACAGAGCAAAGGGACTGGGCCTAGCTCCAGGAATTTGAGGAGTCCTAGATTGTATTTCCAACTGACAGTCCTGCAATTATTCTAACACTTAACAGGATTCCACTTGATGTCCCATTGCCCCTGTATATAAAATGTGAGTTACAGCACGTTAAGTATTTTCTAATATGGCTACTGATTTTCCAAGTCAAGTGCTCAAGTATAAGAAAACGGGCTCCCACTTGTTTCTAGTTGTTATCCCAAATTAGGAAATTCCACGATTTATAGCTTATTTAAAGCAGAACAGAAAGGCATGGTTTTCAAAAATTAAATCCATTCCCAATGTTCAACACTGGCTATATGGATGGGCATAGTAGTGGAAGATTGTAATCCTAGCATTCTGGGAGAAGTACAGCAAATAGAGCCCAGCCTTAGCTAGACCCTGTCAAGTTAAACAAAACAAAACAAGGCCAGGGGTTCAGCTCAGTGGTGCCGCTGCCTACCTCCAAAGTGCAAGGTCCTGAGCTCAATCCCTGATACAAAAATCCCAAAAAAAAAAAAAAAAAAAAAAAAAAAAAAAAAGTAAGACAAACATCATCTGTTTTGTATTCCTTTGTTGCTGAAGATCCTAGATATTTTTCTCTAAAGGGCTCATATTTGCTGTGTTTTAAGCTAGAAACCTTGGATACTGAATTTATTTTTAGCTTCAAAGACCTTTTTTTTGAGACAGGTCTTGTGATGTGTACATTGTCCAGGCCGGCCTCGAACCCAGGATCTTCCTGCCTCAGCCTCAGCAGTGGCAAGTATGACCATGCCCTCTTCTGATAGTTTTTGTTTTTTATGACAGTCTCACTGTGTCATTCAGGCTGGCCTTCAACTCACAATCCTGCCTCAGACTCTTGGGTGCTGCATTACAGGCACATGCCACCAGGCCAGGCTGTTTCTTTGGTACATTAATGGACTTCAAGCCATAATACCCTATCCTTCCCTCACTGATTTTTTTTTTTTTTTTTTTTTTTTTTTTTGATACTGGGGATCAAACTTGGGACCTTGCACGTACGAGGCAGACAGTGGAACTACTGAGCTAAATCCCCGGCCCAGTGCTCCCTATTTTAATGATCTACTCCTGCATCTGAACTGCAACACATAACTAATTCTCCTCTTCTGGACATCTTCAGTTCATTTTTCATTTTTTGGTACTGGGGACTGAACTTGGGACCTAGCACTTGCAAGGCAGTTGGCGGAGCCACTGAACTAAATCCCTGTCCCTTCAGTTTATTTTAAACATAATGAAACACCAAGAAAATTATTCACTACGTAAATAGAAGAAACCCAGTAGTGAGGAGACAGTGAAATTTTTTTATTGTGAGACCAAACCACTAGGAAAATATATCACAGGCTCGACACAGCAGACAGGCTATATTATCATTCATTTCAAGTAATAAATTGGTAAAAAGACAACACATCCCTTAACCAAAAGATAAGGTGCCGTGCTGGGGCAGAAACACTATGTTGTAAAGGCCCCAGGCAAAAATGGTATTTGGTAAAGGAGTCACAGCTCAAATTGCTTACTTTCTGACCTTCCTGTTGCCAGATTATCTCAGTAAGGCGCTGTAATTCAGGAGGCTACGAAAACAGTGCTGGGTTTAGGCTTTTATTCCATCATGTTCTATAAAAATCACTTTCTTCAGTACTTCCCAACTGTCTTAACCAACAGTTCCTTTTTCAGTTTATCAGAGTCAAAACTCTTTACCCTTCAAGGGAAAAATGTCACTGCAAGATTGTCCTGTTAACTGCCACAAAAAGCACAAGGACCTATCAGCCAGTGAAGGAACTCTGTTTTCCATATAGTGTGTGACACTAACTCTTGTTTTTGGCAATCATTTCCAGATTGAAAGACACAGTGTAAGAATATCAAGACATGCACATCCATATCTTGACAGTTACAAAAGGACATACACAAGGAGCCTTTCACAGTTCTTAGCTACTGTCTCAACTCCATATCTTAAATCCACTTCATGCCCTTTCATATAAAAAAACCCCAAGCATAATGAAAGTATGGGCCCCATCCCCACAACTCTTTTGAGACAGGGTCTTGCTATGTAGTCTGGGCTCATCTTGAACTATGTAGCTCAGGCTGGCCTCAAACTCAGGCCTCAGCCTCCCAAAGGCTGGGATTACAGGTGTGTGAATTAATTATCTGAATCTTGTTTTATGGCTTAGTACAAAATAGTGTGGTGATATTTCTGGTAAATAGGAAATTAGCTACAGAGACACTTCTGCAAGTCCATCAGGTCATAGGCAGCTCAGAGGAACCTGCCAGCCTGCTAATATCTGTGTATTAAGATGACACTGGTACTTTGGAGGGTTCTCAGGTGGTACAACTGAGATCTCTACTGCCAGGATAAAATCTTACCACATGAAATTTAGGCTCTAAAACACTCTCTTGTTCTATCTTTGACCCAAACTTTAGCACCATTTTTTTTTTCCATTTTACTTTCTAGTATCCAAACAGAGGAATCAGGGTCCAGAGGCAAGTGAAATGTCTTAAACTTGCTGTCATCCTTAGTTTCTTCATTCGTAAGTTTTGCTTCCTGCCCTAAACCCCGATGGCCACTGGCAAAGACTTTTATTTCCCAATGGATGAGAGCGACTCCTTCATCCTCTTGGTCATAGTTGGAATGAGGTTCATGTGGTCATCTACACACTTGGCCACACAGCTATCCAGCTGTTGTTTCACCTGAAGCTCCTTATTCCCCGCATCCATCGAATCTTTGGCTTTGTCGTTGCAATGCATCGTGCACCGGGCCAGGCGATCCTATGGCAAGAAGGAAAGAAGAAAAGGCTGAGAGGCTGGTTTTCATTTACTGGGTGCTAACTGTGTGCCAGGTCTTGGGCTACAGGCTTGATGTCTATTATCTTGTTCAGTTAAAACAACACAGAGTGCAAGATTGTCTTGGCTGACATAGAGAGCTCAGACAAACCATTACTAAACGGGGGATGAGCAAGTAAACTGTACAGAAGACTGGTTGCTTGTGAGAGGTTACTAAAGGTTACTGTCAGGCTTAGAAACACCTTTGCATTCTTTTGCAGTACTTGGGACTAAATCCAAGAAGCACTGAGCTACACTGCCAGACATTTTTTATTTTGAAATAGGGTTTTGTTAAGTTTGCCCTGGCTGACCTGAAATTTGGGATCCTCCTGCCTCAGCCTCTTGAGTAGTTGGGGTTACAGGTGCACATCAACATGTCCAGCTATCTTGATTAATGTCTGTCCTTGCTACAGAGAAACAATTCTACCACAGTATATGTTAAGCAACTGCTAAATATCAGTCTTCTAATGTTGTTAATACAGCAATAAGTAAAATGGATAAAGTTCTTGTCCTTATGAGACTTACATTTTTTTATTTTGGTACCGGAGATCGAACTCAGGACCTTGCGCTTATGAGGCAGGCAATTTGAATCTTGATTTAGGAATAATGCCTGGTCCAGAGATATGAATGCAAGAACTGTCAGCATATAGATGATATGTATAGCTACGAAGAGACAAACCAAAGGACAGCCCATACCTTCCAATTCTCAGATGCTGAAGGGCGGAAGAGCCAGCAAAAGAAGCCAAAAAAGAGTTGCCAGCCAGGTGTGGCTGTGCACACCTATAATGGTAGCACTCTAGGAGATTAAGGCAAGAGGGTTTTGAGTTTGAGCCCAGACTGGGCAACTCAGTGACTTATTAAATCAAAACAAAACAAAAGGGCTAGGGACAACGCTCAGTGCAAAAGCCCTGGGTTCAATCCCCAGTGTGGGGGTGAGGGGCAGAGAGGAAGGTGGAAAACTAGGAGGTGTTCTTATGGCAAAATGAAGGATAAAATGATTCAAGGGGAAGATGCAAACAGATTAAGATGAGGACTGATCACTGACCAGACACCACTGGACTTAGCCCCATGGAGGTGCACTCACAGCTACAAGACCAGAAGGCACAGTGTGAGAGTGAAAGTCTGCCTGGAACAGACTGCAAAAAGAGTGGAAGGAGAAAGTTGTAACCCAAGAATCAAATTTTCAAAGACTGCATCCACAAAAGAAACTTTTCCTTCAAAAAGGCAGTAATTTAGCTGTTTTGTACAGCAGAATGTAAAGATGTATCAAGTTTTAGGGATAATGCTTTCATGTGAAGGGAATCTCAGGCTATGAAAGACTGGGTGAGAAGACAGCTCTTCTTTCAAATTCCACAAAAGTATACTTAGAGCAGTGGAGGGGAACCTACGGCAAAATCACTGCACCTCAGTGACACAGGAACTGCTCTCTCAGTATAGAAGCAGGGACAGTCTGGGGTGGGTGTGTGAATCCACAAAATAATGGTAGGACCTTGCTCTAATCTGTTTCTTTTGTTTGTGTACTGCAGATGGAACCCAGGGCCTCTGCACTGAGCTCCATCTCCAGTCTTTTTTATTTTGAGATGGTCTTGAGTTGCCTAGGCTGGGTATGAATTACCATCTTCCTGCCTTAGCCTCCCAGACTGTTGAGATTATGGGGACATGGCTCCACACCCAGCTATTACCTGCACCTTTTAGAGTATCTTATTCCACTTTCCCAGAGATCCTGCTGTTTTAAAAATGAATTAATATGGGGCTGGGATTTAGCTCAGTGGTTCTGCTGCCTGCCTCACAAGCTCAAAGTCCTGAGTTCAATTCCCAATACCAAAAAAAAAAAAAAAGAAATTTTAGGGAGTTTTATACTCTATAGTACAGACTGTATTTGGTGCTCAACATGACAAAAATAACAACAAACAAGGTATAAAGGCTTTTTTGCTCATGAGTTTCCCCATTACATCATTGTTTCTGTGGGAGAATATAGTTCAACTTAACAGCGCTCAACTTCCAGGACTTTTTCCAGAATTTCAAACCCTGTGAAGGCTAGTCAGCCATAGGATGGTCACAAGTGTTAAAAGAACCAAGACACTAAAGCCAAGAGTTGTGAACAAAAAGCCTGTCATCTCCTGGAGTAGGGCACACCAAGGACTAGAGATCTCTGGTTGAAATATTCCTCACCTGGAACTTTTCCAGCTCATTGGTCACCAAGGCCTGGGCCTGAGCTAGCGGTGCATGGCAGCGATCGATGCACTGGTGCACTTGCTGCATGGACGCCTGGCTGTCCTCACAGCAGTTGGCACTGCACCGGAACATGAGGCCCTGGGAGGAATAAGAGTAGAGCCTGGTTAGGTAGGAAAGTCTCCGAGGACAAAGATGACTAAGGTGTACTACGAAGGGCAGGAGGCCACGTTTGCATTTGCAACTCCTTCACCTTTCACCTCTTAAAACAGGAATCAGGATCTTAAAAACACGACTGGGAAAATTATCCTCTGTGCCTATTGACAGTGTTTCATGGTCTTCTTGCTGTTAGCTCTTTGGCACCTGTTGCATCAATGGCTGGGTGAGTGGAGCGGGCAGGGCGGGCCAGAGGAGGCCATGTTCTGAAAACCAGGTACCAAGTTCAGAGACGGCAACCTGGTAATATGCATTCCAGCAGGACAGCCGATCTATTAATGACTCAAGAAGAGTTATAAAGGAAACCCATAATCTAGTGAGGGGGGCAGAACCAACACCCACAAAACATAAAGGGGGTCCAAGCAGAACAGCATAAAAACCAGCGCTGCAAGAGGCCGAGCGGAATGAACTTCTGCCCTGGGGTCTCTGACCTTGGCGGTGCCCTTCCCGGGGCTGACGCAGCTCACCTGCGGAAGAGGCCGCGCTATGGGGAAGGTGGAGGACAGCGCCTCAAACCAAGGGACACCACCCGCCGGGCTGGACCAGGGGGCGCACAGACATCAAGCGATCAGCCGCAGCCCTGCAAGTCCTGTCTGAGCGCCAGGTGGGCTTCCGAGGAGCCCCAGGGACCCCTCGGGCTGGGCCCAGCCCC